ATATACTCCGATAGTCAAGTTAGGCTCAGGTGATCGGAACAGTACCAAGGTTGTGCAAAATAGTGGGGAGAAGAATATATACATATGTTTGCTTGATATGGAGTGTTAAGTAGTAAGAGTTTCATTACCTTTTCCTCTTGTCAAGCCTTGGGTATTTATAGGTGAGGAGAACCGTTGGATGTGGGACACGTGTATACACCTGAGCGGTATGAGGCGTCTGCTCATATGCGTCAATCAGCCGCGTCTATAAAGTGGGCGGGTAATTACTTCTCCCGAGTTGAGTTGATATAAAGTTGATATGTCACATCAACTAGTCTCATGGAGACGTCAAATCACTTTAAAACTTAGGGCAGAAAAGATCTTATTCTGCAATTGACGGCGGATCGTGCATTTCGCCTCGGATTCAGGGGCGAGGGCGCTTCGTTCAGTCCTGCAGGATCGCCTATGTCTCGTGGTGTGGTAGCAGATCGTCACCATTGGTGAAATCACTTCGGAACCATTTCGGATGAGTGTTCCACACCTCGCATGATGTGGTGGTGTCACCATTGGTGAAGTGATTTCGAAACCATTTCGGATGAGTGTTCCACACCTCGCGTGATATGGTGGTGGACTTTTTGAAGTGGTTCAGATAGGAGAGTAACAATGTTAAACTACATTCTTTTTTTTTTCCTTTTTTTTTTTTTTTTTTGCCGCTACAATAGTTCACTACTATAGAAGTAAAGTTTACAAGAGAACATTGCACATCTAACTTCTTTGCTTTCTCCTATTTGATAGTAATAAAAAGGCATAATGACTACTATCTATTTATAAAACAAATTAGGGTAAAACCAAAGTTTACGAGGACATAACAAATTTTCAAACCGAAATTTACAAGGAAAGGAATTTCTAAACTATCCTACATGAAATTTTGGTCCAGCACAACAGCTACAGTTAGGCTCTACAATTTAACAAATATCAACTATAATCAGGCTTCATTTACTTTCAATGTTCGTTTATCTTCTTTCATGTTCAACGCTGACAATAAGAAGCTTTCATAGTATATTAGAGAAGCTACATATACTAATTACATACTTCAAAGTCAAATTGAAACTGCCTGTTTGGGAAATGTTTGTTAACATATTAAATTTTAAATAGATAGAAATCGATAAGTACTATCCACTTATCGATTCTACTACATATGAAAATGTAAAATCGTTTGACCATTTATAAACATCCAAACAAACAATCCTTATTCCAACACCGTCTACAGAGTTTTCACAAAAGAAAAGTTGATTTATTAAGGGTTCGTTTGATTGCAAGAATGGAATTTGGGTGGAAAAAGACGAATTCCAGGAAATTGAATTACCTAGAACTTTTTTTACTGTGAATTGTAAATTAAATATGCTTGATTGGTATAATTTTTCAACTGAAAAATGTTGAAATTTTTTATCTTTTGGTATTCGTTTTGCTTTGTATTTCATGAAAATTGTTAATTAAATTGATGAAATTTGTTAAAATTGTGGATTGCAACAAAAAAAAAAAAAAAAAGTTGGAAATCATTTTGTCACGAAAACCGATTTTGCTTAAAAAGTTAGAAAAGACTAGAGGGTCACGTGGGGGGTTGGAAATGGAAAACCAATTCCATGAAATTTGTTTACAATCAAATACCCAATTTTGGATGGAAATGGAAAACTCTATTTTCCATGGAAAAAAGAAGGTTATCAAACAGGGCCTAAAATTAAACTTTTTTCCTTGGATATATATGCATATAGATGATGCCGAATAAAACATAAGATATGCTAAAGCATTAAGAAAGATTTCTTATTAAGATTAACAAATATAGAGAGTGGAATGTATTGAATAGTTATATTATGGAGAATAGAATTCTAAATTCTATGTTCTCAAGACACATATGTTCTGATGCCACATTACAAATTTGGCTTGGAATTGATGATGTAAACCTTATTATAAAGCAAAGCACGAAAAAATTGTTTTAATTGTCAATTGAATCAGTTCTTAGTTAGCATAGATCCTTAAAATTGGCTTTCTAACTTAGAATTCCAAAACTCAATATAATTTTAGAGTCGAACAAGTTGAAACGAATAATCTAATTAGTCTAAAGCTCAAACAGTGTATTAATTTCAAATGAGACACCATCTTACGAAGGATGCGAATTGAATAACATCTTACATCACTTAAATGTGAAATCAATGATTATAAGCTACTTATTTTACAATGAAATGAAATTTTGAACTCAATCGTAGTACTCAACAAAAATGCAATAATGAAGAAAATGAGTATATATTTATTATTTAATATTGTTCAATATTACTCAATCAAATTTACCAAAAATGTTAGTAATAATATGACAATGCAATAGTGAATAAAATTCTTTTTTTTATTTTAATTTTTTAGCCCCATTTGGCCCCCATTAAATGAAAATTCATTTTTCCCTTTTTTTTTTATCAACCACACATTCTCCAATAAAAACATTACACGTAAATCTAAAAACTTATTTTTTAATAACACATTTTTCAAAAAACTACTATTCATCTCATTACAACGTGGAATAATGGAGTCCGAATAAGGGCTTAATAGCATTCATTATTAATCGCTTCATTTAATTTACCGAACATGTCGTTTACGACTAATTGATAAATTTTGACATGAACACGATATAATCCTTCAATCAACTTTCTTTTGTACCAAACACTCCTTAGCAATAGAAATCTCGAATTTTCGCCTCCCGGGGCACAGCTCAACTGGTGGATCAATCAACATTTGTCTTACTTCCAGCGGCAGGGTGGAGGTTCAAATCTTGGTGGGAACCTGGGGCCAGATTTATTTGGTATGGAGCAATCACTTTGGAGGAGGATCTCTTATACGCAGAAATGTACAAGCGGTGGGGGAAACCTGTGATCCAGTTGAGGCATAACCCGCGATTTACTCCCTTCAAGGTTCTAGGGGCAAGGATCTTGGGAGTCCAGAATTTAGTCTAGTGTAAACTGAGATACCTGGATATCAAAAAAAAAAAAAAAAATCTCGAATTTTCATTACGTATACACAAATGATTCTACCCAGTCAAATATCAAAAACCAATTAGGTTTCACAATCGTGTAGCCATATCCTTACTTTTAAAAGTACAAAGGTTGCTTTTTAATATCTAGAAAGACAAAATAATTTACTCAACATTTAATAGTGTAATTATTTTTGTTGAAGAAGACGCTTATCATTAATTTATATTTTATGTATGGTTTAGTTTTAGTGCTTAGAAAGCCATGTTTGCCACTTAAGACACTAATTCTTGGATAATCTAATTAAATTAAGCACAGAATTGAACTTAAAAGCTTCTGAAATATGCCCAATCATTTCCAAATTATCAATGATAGGCCAAGATGCTTAATGCAGACCACGGCATCAGAAAATAAATAAATAAATTATTAAAGTTATTTTCTTAAATATTTTAGAATTTTTTGTCCCATAAGAAATATATTGAATAATAAACATACATATCCTTGTACGTGGGTTAATGCTTTTTATATTTAAGCGATCTGATATTTATTCTTTAACATATTCCGCAAAATGTTAGCTCGTTTGAGTAGGGATGTCAATAAGGCTCTTCGGCCTAAACCAGAAAAAGCCCGAGCCAACCCGTGTGGCTCCCTGGCTCGAGCTCGGGCCTTATTAAAATAAATAAATAAAAAAACAATGAAAAAAAAAAGGTAGCTCTTGCCAGTTGCCTTAAGAAAGGCAGCAGTGCCCCAAAAAAACAAAAAGGAGAGAGAGAAAAGATCGAGCTGGCCTGGCTCAGCTCGCTAAGGCCCGAGCCAAGCCTTATTTTTGCCTAGCTTTTGCTCGGTTCGAGCTCGAAAATAGCCCGTTTGATTTTGCTCGAGCCTTGAATTTTGACTCGCGAGCCAGCTCGACTCGACTCGACTCGTTGATATTCCTACATTTGAGTGTGCTAATTTTGAAATTTGAAATCTCGTTTGAGCTTAGATGGACCGAATTGCTTGTCATAGTAATATAATTATTTACGAAAATTTACCCTTCAAAATTTTATTTGTAATTTATAGATAGAAAATATACCAATTCTTTTCTCAACCCAAAATTTTCTCTCTACATAATCCTTGATAACGGAAATTTTCATTTACAATTTTATTTTATTGATATTCTCCCCTAAAAATTTTATTAGTCATGCACCAAAAAAATTATTTACGATCTCATTTTTAATGTTATTTTCTAAACAGATTCACAACCTTATTGTTAAGACTTCCCTTCTTTTGGGGGTCAACTAATTACTTCATTCTTGTAGTTTTTTCTTCTTTTTTATCCCTTTCTGATTAATCTTTTTGGGGTCGACTAATGACTTCATTCTTGCAGTTTTTTTCTTCTTTTTTATTCCTTTCTGATCAATCGGTGATCTTCTTTTTAGATTTCTTTTACCAGCCAAAATTTGACCTCAGAAATCAACTCTAATTAAGATATAATACAGATTTTGGTAGTGCGTACAACCAGGAAACAATTTGAAGCTTCGAAGTTGGTGGAAGCTGGTGGAAAAATATATATACGAATGTTTGGACATCATTTTTGAGATACGATCATGAACAGTGGAATATAATAATAAATTCACACGATCTTCGTCAAGCAGAGTACTCAAGTGACCATCTGACCTCGAACCGGAGCAATGGAAGACATGTATGTCTTGGTCTTTTAATGTATTCTCCATCTCAAGATGAATTACATTTAGCTAAGCTCCCGATCAAGCCTTGGAGAAAGTTTTTTTTTCTGGTAAAGATTACAAGGAAAGCAGTGGTCACGTGGCGTTTTCTTATTAAAAGGAAGAAGGCATAGACCCCTCAAGACTGAATCCAATGAAGTTGCTACACTTGGATGATGCAAATTTGAACTTATCAAATCAAGAAAAGACCCTTCTATGTTAATACTCCACTAATCTCCTCGAACAGCAGCGGGTGGTATCAACATCAATACACAATTATTCAACCTATCTGGAAAGTGAATTGGAAGACTATAAATTGATAGCCTAATCTTGTTACAGATTGATATGGGAATAGGGAAATGTTATTCAATCACCAAAAACATTCAAATGCATAATAATATGGGCATGGGGAAAATAAAGTCGAGCACTCTTTGCAGTGACATTCAGGATTCTTACCCTGCACTATGGAAAAATGGTGAATGACTTCTAAACGGAACAATAACTTAAAGGCCCTCAAAAAATCTTAAATGGTCTTCAAACGTCTCCCCGTGCCGAAGTTTGGACACAGATCCATCCTCTTCGACCTGGAAGAAGATAAAAATCACTCAATCACATCTATTAAGAAACAACGCAATGCAATAGAACTCAATTGGACAATGCAGGAAGAACTATAGCCATGGATTTTCAGCTCCGGTAATGGAAATGTTGAATGGAATGAAGTTGGCTTAGTAATTTGTGCATAAACACTGCATATATATGAAAAACAAGCAGTGGGATAGACAAGAAAGAAACTAAGAACGTTTTTTATATTTATTAGTCAAACAAGAAAGAACTTGATTAAAGAGCGAAAGAGAGGTGATAACATTGGTAAGTTATCATGTCTAGTCATGTTTCGTATGCAGTCCCGTCCCCCCCCCACACACAGAGACAAAGAACACAAATCATAATCCATAACGCACACTCAAAAGGGCCAACACTTTGAAGGGCATCTAATGAATCAATCAACACCACATTATTTCATGAAAATTGAGTTTTTCGGTATAATTATATTCAAATATTGCCTAGCTAAATACGAAAAATATTCAAGATAGTAGCTAAACTATGTTAAGGATAGATAACTTCAAGGACCTCCCCCAGACAAGAATAGGTCACTAACCCAATATTCCGGAGGACGCATCTTGAGATTGTATGTTGAAGCCATACTCATGCAATATGCACCTGCATCATGAACTACAAGGCCAGCCCCCTGAAAAAGCAAAAGTTAAATTGAGTATAATAAAAATATTTTCCAGGCTTTTTGTGTAGGATCAAGGAGACATTACACTCGTTGGCGTTGGAAGTTCTCTGTCCTTCCCCAAGAAATCTGCTGATTCACAAACAGGACCCACAACATCAAAAGTGGAAATCTCGGCATCTGGTGATGAGGGAGAAACCAGCTCTATGTGCTGCAATTAAAACTCATTCAGTTCAGTGAAACTCTGAATGCGGGCAGAAGAAATTATACAATTAAATAATATGTAGCACCGGGTTCTTTACACTAGAATATTCATATTTGCAAGACAATATATAGAAATTAAGACATTTTAAGAGGTGAAGCAATTTACTTTTTGTGAGATTTTAGCATTGCATTAGAGAACAAGATGATTGAACCTTTGTGCTCAAAAAGAAATATTAAGCCCCTGTTTCGTGTAGCTTAAATAGTTGGATTAAAATTTAAGTTAAAATCAACAATTAATTTTAACCATACATTCCATGGGTCCCACAACTTGTATCAACTCTTTAACCACACATTTGATCAACTTTTATCAAAATCTACTAAAAATATGATTTTTAGCTACACAAAACACGGGCTAAATAAACTTTGATATATCATAAAATACAGTAGGTGCGTGATATATCATAAAATACAGTAAGTGCATGGTTGGTACACAGTACTAAACATTATAATGAAAAAGATTTAAGCTTATTTTTCTTAGTCTTTGTTTGTTTGATTCACATTATTTCCAAAATACGTTTTTTTCTTTTTTCTTTTCAACCACACATTCTTCAATAAAATAATATTATACACATTCAAAAAAATTTCTTATTTTTTAACCATACAATCTCCATTAATCTAATATTCCAAAAGGCTTGCTTAAATTATAATGAGGCTCAAACATGCTCCTAGTGTCCAATGTTATTCAATCCATGCTAGCATCAACCATTTATGGCGAACCGTTGACTTCATGACATGTTCTTGGTTAATAAAACACTGGTTTAATTGACATATAAGTCATCATGTGAAGGATTTAAGCAAAAATGGGAAAACTGAAATGGAAGTTCGTTATTGTCTTGCAACAATGAAGAAAATTATATGGTAGAAGTTGTTCACAAATTACAGAAAAAGAAAATAACATTTAGATATTACATGTTCCCTATTATTAAGCGCAGAAACGTTTGAAAGTAATAGAAACCTTACCTGATAGGCTCCATACAAACTTGGACGAATAAGTTCCGCCATGCTGCCATCAATCACAACAAAATTTTTGGTCCCATTGGTTTTGACTCCAGTGACACGATTGACCAAGCAGCAAGTATTTGCAATAAGTGATCTTCCAGGTTCAATAATTAGATTAAGATTCCGTGAAAGAACCAACTCCCGAACCTACAGAAAACATCCATGAAATGATGTTATGAACCTGGGCAATGTTTTGCATCTCACTCAATGTGTCCAGAAGCCAGTAAGATTGATTCCCAAACACAGCCCCTTTTCCATCAAAAGAGAACCCAATCCAGTCATATCAACATCTTGGCTAAAGGAAAACAAACAAAAGAAAGAAATCCAACATCCCAAGGGTTCAGCCAACAAAAAAAGAATGAGCCCAGATGAAAAAATCCGCAGTTTACATATTTTCAGTTATATTATGCCATTGATTCTAAGAACAAACAAATCGCTTTGCAATACGAATATAGAATGCGAAAAAATTTTGTCTACGTCCCAGCAGCAATGCCTGCATGCAGAATCCACTTTTCATATTAGTGAAATATTCAACAGTGAAGATGTCAGAATTCCAAGCTTACCGATGGTTACAGTGAAAGTACAAGATGCAAACAGAACTAAGTCTGAACCAGGTTAGACTTCAGACCCCACTGCAGCCCTTTCCAACAATATGGAAGACAGGTGGCCAAACATTTTGTAACCTCTCGTCTTCTTTCAATTTTCTTTTTTTCTTTTCTTTTTCTTTTTCATTTTTGGTCCAGACTTACCATGTGCATATCAAAAGAGACGCAAATCTAACCATTAAAAATAAATAGAGAAATGAGGCACAGATATTTGCATATCAGACATGTACATAATCACGTCACTCAAGCATATACAGGCCTCTGACAGGTGACCAGTATATGTCTGTGCTTCATGAAGGACAATTAACTATTGAGACTCACCCCTCCAGACATGCATTCCCGAAAAACTAGGGAGAGTGCAGAAGAAATTGTGCCAAATGAAAGATCCCACTGACTTAAAGGCCATGAAGAATGAAGTAGGATACAATTGAAGTTATAGTACTTACAGTATCAATAAGATCTCTAGGACTGGGAAGGACAGCTCCAGTGTGATAATAATCAATTCCAAGACCACCTCCAATGTTTAAGTAATCAATTTCAAAGCCTTGGACTCGAATTTCATCGATGTAGTTCACCATTAGGACTGCAGCATCTCTGAAAATGTCCACCTGGAACAACAATCAAGTCTTACCATTTATTATTATTTAACAATCTTAAAGTAACAAGTTAAATGCAGATATGCATAAGCTTTTTGATTGTCAACAGTGAGAACTCTGCATTGTGAACAAAAGAAGCTGAGAATATGTGTACCAGAAGGCAAGAAAGAGATGCATAACTTAGCCCTTATTTGAGCCCCATTCTTTTGATAAGAATGAATTTTCGAATAGTGTATTGATGGGAAATATGTCGTTAAAAAATAAGGAAAAGTTTTGGATTTACGTGTAATATTATTTTATTGAAAAATGTGTGGTTAAAACAATGTCAAAACAATGTTTAAGAATGTGTGTTTTTAAAGAATGTGAATCAAATAGGTGCTTAATTTTCCTTTTTCTATTAAATTTTCCTTTCTCCAGAAAGACAAAAGAGGTTTATGCAGAAATAGTAAATGAAAACATCAAAAGTACAAATTTTTCTCTTTTGGAAAAAGATAATAACACATAGACCGGTAGGAAATGTCCATAATCAAAGAAGGAATTGGTTTAATTGGTAAAATGCTACAGCCAGAGTTGCTCCGATGATGTGCATTCGGAAAAGGAAAAAAATATTTCTTCTATTTTTTTTATTCTTGGCTTAGGAATTTGGATAGGCAGATAGATGCAATTCAGAAGCATGGATCTAAACACGTGCACAATTAATAACTTAAAACTCAAATATGAAAAATCTAGCGAGTGCAAAATAGTTCATTCAGGTATCAGTTTAAAATCATAAAATAGCAGAGTTACAAATTCATAAGCAACAACTGACCCTAAAAAGCTAACTTGAAGAAGAATACCTTTGTAATGGTAGAGCCAAGATGGCAGTGGGCACCAACAAGCTTCAGTTCTTGCCGATGTGCCTTCACGGCATCTAGAAACCACTGCAGCTTCTCATTTCGGATACCAAATTTGGAGTTCTTGTTCCCAGTGGCAACATATGGATGGACCTAATTCACACAAGCACTGGATTCAAATTGATAATTACATTCCATTACGAGTAATGCAGTAAAAATAAGGTTTTTGCGAGTCCATAGCTGCAGATCTGACAAGGATCTAATCAAGCAAGCGTACAAAACTATAATGGAGTCAGCAATGGTGGTCAAAAACATTTTGGCAATGGTTGAGTCAGGCTAATTAGAATAAAATATCTTTCTGGAAATGGAATTACCAATGTGAAATTGAAGCATTCTTTTCTCAAGTTGAAAATTGATGGCGTGTACAAGGCATAAAAGTGTAACAACATTGGTAGTTGAACCAAATTTTGCTCTCTCCACACAGCCAGGTGAGGGAGCATTAGAGATTGTACGATGCTAAATTAATTAGATTATTTATTCTTTTCTTTATTAGAACAGAGAAATAAGTTTATTACATTTAAAGTTCTAATACAAAATCAAATAGTACACTATGTTATTTGTATGTTCAAAGCAATAAGCTAATGTTACCACAATCTGAAATTTGGCTTCTTAGAGTAATCTTTTCAGATTTTAAATCACCCAGGGAATAAACACTTCAATAGTTTAAACCAAATTTAACTTAATTATAACAGCATGACTCTTCTTCGTATGATTATTCATCCCGACACATAAAAGAGGATGCAAGTAAATAAGCAACAGCTTGACCATATAACACCATATGAACCCTGGGACCTTGACTGAAGATATAAAAAGTCAACACGTTAAGTACCCCCACATGGAGAGTGCAACATATTAATTTCACGGTAGATATGAAACCAAAATTAATACCTGAGGATCTACATCTGGATTTATACGTAGGAGCACATTTACTTTCTTCCCAGCAATTCTTGCCGCAGCTACAATGTTTTCCAGATCAAATTCGCTATCAATGTTTACAAAAACACCTTCTTTAGCAGCTAGGACTAGATCCTCCAAGATTTTTCCATTCCCATTGAAGACACACCTGCCACAAGATATTGATATATCACCTTTCAAGCTGAAGACAAGCTGAAGACAGCATTATACACCACGACCTCAGCAAAATTAAGATAAGAAACTCAAAAGTAGATCAAGTGTCAAATAGCGGGATGCAGGACTAGGGTATGAACCCATGTTGACTAATTTAAACCAAATTTTATGAGTGCACCCGCAATCTGAGAGGACAATATTTGGTTACCGCCTTTGTTTGAAAAATTGGCATCATTCTCCTATATTAAAAAATGTTGACAGAACCAAAACAAAGTCAAGAACCTTATAGGAAGCAATAGTCTATTGCATAGAAAAATGCAAGAGAGATAGAAGTCGCTCCATTTGCATAGAACGGTCTCTTGAAATCTTTTTTTTTCCCTTTTCATGGTAAAATCACGACAATGCAAAGCATGTTTTCGGGACAGGATTGCTGAGATGAAGAGTGCCATTGGAAGAACTGGTAAACCTCTTGTTCTGGATGAAAATTTGGTCACTCTGTCTCCGAGGCCATTCAAATGCATTTT